GGTGTGTCACCCATCAGAGCCGTTCTCTGCCTTCTTGTTGAAGAGCGCATGCGACAAAAAGTGGTAGAAAACGAGTAATACGAAGGATATGATACAGTATTGTCACTTGCCCGCTTCAACAACTGGTGTAGAACGAGTTTGGCACCGCGCCAAACGCAGCCGCACTGACACGCCCAACCGTCCGCAGTGAACTACAGTATACCTTGCAAAGGGGCACACAGGCGGACCGACAAGCTTACAGTCCTTTACAGAAAGTGATTTTCGGTATATCAGACGAAATGCAAGACAGCGCTCACTGGTACCCAGGCCGAAATTGGGGAAATCCGACTATATGCAGGGAATCGGGCGCTTTTATACTTCGCGCTAACTGAGGTTCGGACAACCGGAGGATCTGCGAAGGGCAGGATGTATTTGACTGGTTCGATTTTAGTGAAGAATTTGAGAATCTATGAAAATGATCAGATACAACATGACTGGCTCGCCTGTAATCTAGTCCTTATGTTACTGCTTCTCTTCGCATTCTTCTGTTACTTACAATACTGCATCCTACTGAAGCGCTTATGCGAGGGACGTAGAGGAGCCCAAGAGAGAACCCTTCCGCCGACATGTAGTCGTTTTCTCTGCATGCCGGGGCATGCCAGGGGGCTCGTTTGGCGTGGTGCCACCCTGTTTTCACTAGCCTGCTTCAATAATTGATGGAGAACGGGCCGATGCCGTTCCAAGCCGGGCCGCCCTGACACGAGCCAGCGTATGTACAGAACGACCGTACAGAGGTGTCAACCTCCTGTCCTGCTTCGGGACAAACATTGGAGTAAAGCTTGTTGTATGAGTTGGTGCGGAGAACGAATTCCAGGAAAGGGCGTTCAATGCCGTTGTAGACGAGGGGTTCATGCGGCGCCAAGACGACGAGATCTTTTCTTCCAGCTCAATCTTACCAAGGAAGGAAGTTTGGTCGAGTTGGCAGTTTATAACGAGATATCTGCTATCTGGTGTGCCTCCAAACGGTGATTAATAATCCGTCCTCCGTACCTGCTGTGGACCTTTCTGATGAAGTTACGGAGTTTTTTTTAGCGCTAGTCTA